AAATTTTTCCATCAGCAGATATTGGCAATCAAAGTGTGATTCAGTGAATGTAGTACAGGCCCATCATATAATGCTGTGATGATGAAACCATTCAGAAAATTCAGCAGGTTTTTAGTGATGATGCAATGAGTCCATACAAATTAGTGTAGGTACTTTTGTTTCAAAGATGGCACACATTGGTAGAGAGTGAACCATGCTCTAGTAGGCCCACAACAAGCCAAAATGAGGAGATCATTGAGCAAGTGCAGACTTTGGTCACGAAGGACCATTGCATTTGGTGCCTGTGCCAGGTAATTTTGTCCCCTAGGCAAAGTTTACAAGTGCGCTCTTTATTTCACAAGTTGTATATTTTTTAAATAAAATTTTAAATATAAAAAAATAATAATTATTTTAGCATGCTTTATTAGTAATATACAAACTAATATACAATATGTAATCCATCTAAAAACAGAGCCTTTTATTTTCTTTTTAAATAATTATAATTTGTTATAATTAATTTACAAAAAAAAGTTATAAATACCAAAATTTAATATTTTAAAATGTTAACATTTTGACCTTAACTGAATTTTAAATAGCAGTAAGTTCAAATCATTTAGGTAAGGACTAAAAAAGAACCAAGAGTTAAATAATAAAATAGTGTGGTGCATGTGAGGGATAAGGAAAAAGAATCAGTACCTAAATCATATATCACTATTTAATTTAATGTTTTAATGAAGTATGAGTAAAGCATAGCACCCTTTCATGGCCTATGTCCTAGATGGTTGCCTAGTTTGCCTAAATGTAGAGCTGGCCTTGATTGTGTCATCATCTGAGAACTTGCAGACAAGGTGGAGATAAGCAGTGGTTCAGTCAGTCGGACAGATGGCCAAGTGACCTGGGGGACCTGTGATCAAATCTGGATGGGTCAAAAAAATCCCCAGGAATTTTTTGGGGTGATCCATTCTGATATATCAGACCCCGTCACCACCCAGCAATGCCCAATTATGGGCATTGCTGAACCCATAATTGGGCTTGCTAAAAGTTCTTAGTTTCCACAGGGCAGAAAGTTAAAAAAAAAAAGCAGTGATTCAGTAGATGCCCTTTTGAAAGAATTTGCTCATGCAGAGAGTGTCCTCCAAATTTGTGTGAAGCTGCTAACAATGGAAGCAATGGAACAGAGCAACTCCAACTGGAAATCTTTCAAGACATGCTTGGCTATGCAAATGGCAACCTCCACTTCCTGGACTCAGGATAACGTCATTGGTAATGAGTTATGGGTTTATGGGTATGACAAAGAAACTAAGATGTAGTCATCACAGTAGAGACATTCATCATCATCTCCCAGACCAAAACTAACATGGCAGGTGCACATCAATATCAAAATCATGTTGACCATCTTTGACAACCATAGTGTGTGGTGCATCACAAGTATATACCACAGGACCAAACCATTTCCAAAGAGTGTTATCTGATTGTACTCCATTACCTTCACAATAATGTATGATGCAAATGACCAGATCTTGCAGCAGGAATTTGAAAACTTCATCACAACAATGCATCTACTTATTCTTTGCATCTGAATCAAATTTTCTTTGTTAAGCAGAACATTCCTCTGCTTTGTCAAGTGCATTACTCTTCCAATCTGGTTCTATGTGATTTTTGACTATGCCCCAAGCTGAAGATGCCACTGAAAGGAATCCAGTTTGAGTCACAAGAAGACATTATGAGAATGCAATGGTGCAGCTGAACACTATTCTTAAAGAGGCCTTCCTTATGTGCACTGTTCCAGCAGTTCCTCAACAGTGCATTGTTGGAAGAATTGCTGGAAAAAGCCCAAGGAGACTACTTTAAAGAGGATTAGAGTTTCTGATCTGCAGGTGGATAACTGTATATTTCCTGGTTGAATGATCAATACTTTTTGAATATTCCTTGTATGTACTACTATATACATTAAAACAGTATTTTTCCTACTTAATACTCTCATACTTTAGATTTTCTTCAATTCATCCTCTTATCAAACACACCATCAAAGAGCAATCAGTTATGATCAGACATAAAATGGCACACTATCAAAATTTCTCACTGTCTACTATCATATGTCTAGTACAGGGTTGGCAGTTTGTCAAGTGAGAAGAGCCAAACTGTCATAAAAAGAGGATAACAAAAGTACCAGAGAGCCTCATATTAATTTAAATGTGCGAAATACGACACACGACGGCGCGTCTAGTGAACGTTTTTGGCATAACGTTACACGGATGGACGGACACGCGTTCAATGCGTTATATATATAGATATGCTTCAAATGCTACCACTCTTAGGCGATTCATATTGAACAATGCGAGTGTGGTCATATGCGGACGGCGTACGAGTCAAAGTTTGTTCAGCGGCTCTATCTCATAAACACATAAGTTATAAGGCTGCAGTGAAATGAGGTGAGGTGAAATTGGAGTTTATGTCCGAAGAGCCGCAAACGTCTATGCAAAGAGCCGCATGCGGCTCGCGAGCCGCTAATTCTGATCCCTGGTCTAGTAGAAACAACTTTTGTGAAACTTTCAATATTTGCTCTCAAATCAAATACTGGGAGTGGATTTCTGGTTTTTTTTTTCCTGGAAACTTTCAAGATTGCTTTAAGGACACCAAATTGAGCTACAATTCACATAAATATTATTGCATTATAAAATGCATTCTATACTGTGTACCTTTTCCCCTCGTAAAATCAGCATGAAAAAATGTGGTGTGTCCAATACAATAGTACTTCTTATAAGGTAAAAAAATATATTTACAATACAGTAATACCCTGAACTTACGCGATAGATGGGACCGAGCAATGTCCGTGTAAGTCAAATTCGCGTAAGTCGGGGTATAATTTTGCAATTTGTGTAAAATCCAAGTGGAATGTATGTAAGCTAATAAATGTTCTCGTTAATCTTATCTCGTCTTTTGATTCGTTCACGGTTACAAGAATTCACCACATAGAGTCTCTCAAGTCTCCGTAGATATAACAAACACAGAAATAAATAACACAAAATAAATTGTAGCTATGTGTCGATTCCATGCGACACGTCCGAACATGTAAGCTGAACAATAGTATGAGGGGAGTGAGTAATCAAGGGTTGCATGGCACGCAAACAAAAGACAAATCGACGAGATTTGAAAATCGCGTAACTCCGGGTTCGCGTAAGTCGAGGTACTGTTAAAACTGCGAGCAGGATAAAAACGCACAATCCAGATTAGTTAAATGAAACACAATTAATTTTTATTTACTCGCTTTTTAGGATACAGGTTCTCAGGATACCACTATGCTAACCCCACGGATACTCCACATAATTCATTAACCCGACAAAGATTGCACGCGCGTCGTTCCTTACCGATCACTTAAAACTATCTTAATTAATACTATATTTCTACTACTACTTAAACTTATTTTATATAGCCGGCTTACTCGAAGATTTAGAAGATGAAAGTAAAGAATAAGGAAAGAGGGTACCCAAAACTTGACGGATGCGGTTCCTCGTTGATCGGGGGGCTGGTTAGCTCTGTTCCTTGTTTCACGTAGAGAAGTTAATCCAAAGGGATGATCCTTCTGGCTCCCTTCGGTTGAGTTCCTTTTTCTTCTACGTTCCACAGATCTCCTTTTCACACTACGATGCAAAACCTTCCGGGGAGACGTACTTTCGCTCTTCACGTTCCAAAGTTCTCTTTCTCACCCTCACACGCTATACTTGCCGGGGAGACTTTTCTTTTAGCTCCTCTTCCTTCTCTTCCTTTCTACCCCTCTGAGTCTCCCGATCGCTCCCTCCCCTCCGAGCTACATTTCTTTCGTTGCTTCTCCGGTTAGCCCACCCGCATACCCACGCCAGGGAAAAGAAAAACGAGAACATTCCAGGAAGGGTAAACAAATAGGACAGACAGATGTGAAGCGGGAAGTATACAAGATAAAATGACACAATTATATACGAAATATATGATAAAATATGGAATGTAGCCACAGTACTACTGTATCTACAAACTTGTGCAGTACTGTAACACTGCTCTCTTCTTCTATATCTTTTTGGAATGCATGCCAAAAAGCTTTATTTTTCACATACCACAAACAATACTATCAAGCAAAGCATATAAAATTAGACGTGGACCAGACACATTCCTCTAACGCTCATTTTGAGTTAGAGGAATGTTTCTTCCAAAGAATTAAATTTAAGAGAGACAAAAAGAACTCACAAGGGCTGTGCCAGAAAAAACAAAATTTGACTAACAAAGAACGTAATTCAAGTGTCATTCTCTCAATTTGATGATTCTCCTGTTACCAAACATTGCAAAAGGTATCTTACTCTCAGTTTTTATTTGTAGAAAAATATTTTCAGGGGTGAAATCAGGCCTCAAGCTTGGGCATTATTGTTAAACTATTTCTAGCTGCTGGAAAAGCAAGTAAGATGTGAATTCTGTTTGTATTACTTGTTCCAATTTGGATCTCTTAGTTATTATTATTGTTAAATATTGGATCTGCATAAACAAAATTTTATAAACATGAAATAATGAAATTTTTTATGAACTAGTATATTGAAAGACTTAATTGTCATATTCATAATCAATATGCATTTTTAAAGATATGGATGAAGGAATAGTTTACCACTCTAGGAAGTGTTGATAGCTATCAACATATATTTATCATTAAAAAACAAAAAAAATGGAACAGTTGCAAAGATTACTTCAATATTGCTGCATGCCTGATAGCATTGTAAGAATTATTATCTTATATAAGTTATAGAACATCAAAAACTAAGAATCATCAAAACTGTCAGTGGGAGACTGGTGATGTTCCTTGCTAACAAGAGGTTTGACATTTCTAAACAAATTTAACTTATCGAGTTAACTGCATATGTGTATACACCACTTAATGTAATTAATTTAATGTGTAAAAATACAGAATATTAAAAATTATTGAAAGATATTCAATTAGCATACTACCATATAAAAATATACTATAAAAATACCATAACTATATTAAAATTTTAGTTACATACGTGGACAGCATTTAAATAGCTCGTGACTTGCTCTGCTTTCACATATAGAATCTATGACACTTTTATCAAACTGGTCACACATAGTATTGTATAAACTAGTATTATGAATGTTACTAATTGCCCAACCAGCAGCAAAAACGGGTGACAACTGTAAGATTGCTAATGTTAGATCCATATCTTCTTTATCCATAACATTTGATTTATTCAAAGAAAAAACAATTACTCCTGCAATCAGGCCTTTAAAAATAATAATAATATGTTTAGAATCATTAAAGTTTTTAAATTCACAAGATATAAAATTTATTATAAATATTTTTTATATCTAAAGCTGGATTATTCACGAGTATTAATAATTAGAATAATTATGGTTTGGTTTGATGAATATGGCAACACAATGCCTCATGGGAGGACTTTCTGAGAGAAACTGTCTCCTATTTACATTAGACGCATGAAGAAAATTCACAAAACTTCACATGGCCTGCTCATTCATGAGGCACGAATCCACAACCAGTGTTTGGTGGTTTTATCCATTCAGAAACTGTTGGGCAATATACTCTGACTAATCCAAGTTTAGATCTTTGGATAATTGATTATTAAGTTATAATTTATATTCCTATATTATCAGAAGAATTAAATAAATAAAAATATCCTTAAACTGAAGAATCTGAATTAAGATAAAAATGATAAATTGTAATTTTTTATTTCAAGATTAATGATTATTTTTTTTTAATTAAAACAAAAACTTTTTAAAATTAATAAATTTTTTGCATTAAATATACAATTAATATGTAAATAATTAAAAATCAAATAAAGCTTTGTGCATTTATTTATTATTGGACTACATTTTGGCTAATTATACATACAGATGCTACATAATTTTGGCTAAAAGTTGGCCCTTTATCCAAAATTGGGCTGTGTTAATTAATTTATAATATTCTGGAAGAAAGCTCAACCCAGAGTAGGACTTGAACTTATAAAAACAATTTATGCTTCTGACACAATATAGTGCTATAAATTAAGACACTTGGCGGATTTTCTCATCTTTATTTAGTTGATACAACGTATCTATATAAAACTATACATAAGTTTTATAGTATCTATAAAACTATATTTAATTAAGGCATACCTTGAGTACGGCTGTTATTAAGGTTGTACTGTACAAAATTGATTATACCTTTTTGTACAGTACAACCTTAATAACAGCCGTACTCAAGGTATGCCTTAATTAAATATAGTTTTATAGATACTATAAAACTTATGTATAGTTTTATATAGATACGTTGTATACTCTCCTAATATTATAGTAGGCTACAAGAAAAAATACTGTGAATAAGCTGATGTTGCTGAAAAAATATCGAAAGTAAACTGCTACTTTAATTTATAAAACCTGTATGGATAGGTATGTTTTATTTTTTAAAAATTTTACAAAACTTTTGTATTCCTTTTTATGTGTATGTTATATCCTTTTTAAATGTTTTAGTTGACTGAAGAGGGGCTTAAGAGCTCGAAACGTGTAATTTTTTCCACACGTATCAACTAAATAAAGATGAGAAAATCCGCCAAGTGTCTTAATTTATAGCACTATATTGTGTCAGAAGCATAAACAAATAGCAAAGCACGGTTTCATATCATCATTATAAAAACAATGTTGCCAGATTGGCTTGTTTGATGCCAAATTTGCAAAATTTGGCTTTTTTCAGTTTGATTGGCATAAAAAAAATTTGATTTAATTGGTGTTCTTTTAGTCATATTTCTACTTTCCTTTTTGTTTCTCCTACGTAGTTTTTCACAGGTGCATGGTATTGAGTAGACTACATTTGTTGTGCTATATGTACCTTCTATCTTATTGCTCAGTTCAGGCTTGATTTTTAATTTGTAATAAGTAATTTAAACAAGATGTATACCAGTTAACACCACCTTACAAGATATCCTGGAAGTAATGGTATATTATAACCTATTATAATATAAAACAATTTGTATGAGAAATTCATGTTTATGTTTTATTATGTAGCCGACAGAAAAGGGGCTTATGCCCGAATAGTGTCTTGGCCCACAGGATATTGCTGAATAATGATTGATGTCAGAAATGCCCAGTGTCTGACTATGCACAGTAAAAACAGATAAAAGGTTAGACATGGTTTCAGAATACACAATTGCTATAAGGTTATTTTCTTGCTACTATTAATAATGAAATTTTAAGTAATTTGGTATTAGAGGTAGACATTAGGTGCCATAGAGATGACAGAGTCCATATGGTTGTAGGGATATCTGAAAGATTGTGTCTATAGAAGAGGCATACAAACTCTGCCCGAATTGAAAGCAAGCATAACATGCCATATTGCTGCAATTTCTCAAGAAACCTATCGGGCTACTGTTGAACACACTGTAAGGCACTTTGAACATGTGATTGACACAAATGGATTGCACATTGAACAAATGTCATGAATAAAAACCTTTTGCGTGTTTCCATTTTGTGTTTCTTGTTTTTCATGTAACATTTTTTTTGCCTAGTGGTAGAAATTTGAACTAATTATTGTTTTTTGCATTTTCCTTTTTTCCCATGGTTCCCATATGATGTATATACCAAGTTTCATCAAAATACGTCAACAAGAACTGACTCTAGACAGGCAACTTTAATTAGAACCATCCTGTATATTAAATTGTATAAAATCTTGAATTTTTTACAGTGTATGTATGCTATTAAAAAATTAGTTTCTTATACATAATTGTAGAAATGATGATGCATCCAAAATTAAATGAATGTATGTTAAATGGCATGACAATGCCTGTTGTTGTCTGTGAAAATTGTATCTATTTATTAAATTTGAATAAATTTTAATTTGAGTTTATAATAATTGTTTTTTTTTCTACTTCATTATTTCAAGTGATTTAAGATAGTGTAATCAATTTTAATTAAATGGTTGGAAATATACATTAAAACTTCTTATAATTTATAATAAAAATTTACATTAAATGAAAATATTTTGAAAAATTATTACAATACCTGTTGTAATACCAACAATTGTGAATAAAGAGAAACCAGTTGAAGATTTATTTGGTATAAACGACATAAGATATATCAGAGGAAGAGATGCCCAACCGTATATTATGAGTACAAAAAACATTGCACCTGAAATAATGTATATATTTTATATAATTATGTGTTTATTGTATCAAATAGTAATTACATTTAAATTTAATACAATGAATAACATATCTAAACTAAAATATTGATTAAATTATTGCCTGACAAATTAAAAATATTTCTGAATTACAAAGGTTTCAACTTTTTAATAATGATTGTAAACATTTTAAAGTTCCTGAAAATATTCATGGCCAAAACATTCAAACTTCTTAAGTTTATACATATATATGTCTCATTAATCCGAAAAATCACAAGAATTCTGGTAGACTATCTTACAGCCTTTAGGTTAGGAACATCCTTTATTGAAGGTACAGGTTACAATGTAACCTGTATCTTTAATAAAGGATGTTTCTAACCTAAAGGCTGTAAGATAGTCTACCGGAGTTCTTGTAATTTTTCGGATTAAAGAGATATGGTAACTGTTTATTCGTTCATACATATATAACAGATATTCTTAAGTTTATCCTTACCTTCTCTATCTTACAGACCATGCTAACAAATAATAAACCTTAAATATTGTTTGATTAGCTTAAAAAAAAAAAAGCAGTCTAGCATTTTTAACTTCAAAACGATTATGTACCAATTAAAGACATTTGTCTTTTACTTTGCTTGATTAACAATTAGAAGTTATACTTTATTTTATAGAAGTTTGTATGTGTTGATCAAAAACTTCTGAAATAAAATATAAAAAGTGACAAAATTATACATACCTATAGCACATCCTTCCAAAGTACTGTTGATAGAACTGTAGATAAAGAATGGAATAAGTAATAAAAAGCTACAAAAAACGTGAATTAAAAAATCCCACAGTAAATGAATAAACCAAAATACAATTGCATTAATTCCACACATTCTCTGTAATAATTTACACTTGGTAACTCTTTCGTGAATTGGGAATAAGATAAAGCTTGAAGTTAAGAAGGTTAATGCCAAAGCTACAAAAACAATATAAATAAAATGACTTGCCACTTCCACTAGAGCTCGATGTGAAAAAGACAATGTACTAGGAAGTGGATGATTAGTAATTTGTATATCTGATTCATTGTTTTTACTAAGATATTTCAAAAGAGACGTTGTCATCAAATTTAATGATATTGCATCTAAATGATAAGGCACAGCATTAAACCAGGATATGATGGTGAGATTTCCATCTTCTTCAAAAATACTGGCTCCTACCAAGTCTGTTTCAATGTACCTTTTGAGGTTGTCACTTCTCTCTAACTGATATTCAGTAGTATCATTTGTATTAAAAATCATTGCATCTTCCTCTTTCAATTTATCTTTATAGTAATTTAGGAAAGGAGTTTCTTTTTCATTCATCATATTGTAAAATGCATTCGTTGAACTGTAAAGCTTTTTCAGATTTAAGTCTAGCGGTTTCACTTCAGTAGTTCTATTGAATTTATTAACTATCCACATTAGATTACTTATTACAAGTATGGGAATAATTAATTGAAAAATTAATATGACGTAATCACGTTTGGCATAATGGAATCTTTTCAAGAAAAGACCTTTCATTTGTTGTACTACTAACTGTGATCCAGTTGCTCTTGATGAGTTAGCAAGTTTTGAATCTAAAAAGAAATAATAAAGAACTAATTAAAAAAACATAAAAAATAAAGTGCCTTCTATATCAGATTAATATTATGTAAGATGAATATTTGATTTTGATTTAATTCATTCCATTATATAAGGAGATTCATAAAATTTTACCACACTTGTAGACAATTCCTGGGGACAATTTGAAAAAAAATTATCAATCAAATACTGTAACACATAACTGCAAACTTAGTTTGTATCTTGACCCAGCAAGCACTTTCTCAGCATATATAGCCATGTCAGGCTGTGTATGTTATTGTTGTGAATGTTGCTGCATTGATCAGGGATTGCTATAGTAAAATCAGAAACACAAATGCATGCAGTTCAGACATGCCAAAAGACTTTTTAAAGTGAAAGGCAAGATCTTTGAAAAATCTCCTCTAAACATTTGTGGTTTTATCAATAAATAACTTTCAAGCATTTGATCAGCATTTTTCATTGATTCCCTTTCATCCTCTTTCAAAACTACTACTCCATCTTAGTATATAGTCCATAATGTTAATTGTATAAATGCATTTATTATATTGACTAAATCTTAAGATTTTATTATTAATCATAATTTGTAAAAATATTTACCATTGTTATCATAGGAATTAATCAATATTTCTGTTTCACAATCATTTGCTGGCTCTTCCAAATTATTTTCACTCATCTTTCCAACTCTAAAATGTTAAAAATTTTTATATTAATAAAATAATTTGTATTTATAATAAGATATAGTGTANATTGTTTTAAAATGTATATAATTATTTTAGTAATCAAAATTCACTTTATAGCAATAAAAAGATAGTTTATAACTTTACAATTATTGAGTGATGTCTCTTAATGAAGGCTGACTAAGTGCTCATAAAAAATTACTCTGAAAACTTTGTATTTCATTCGACAACTACAAACAAATAATAATAACAACAATAAATGTTACATCGACAACATTAAAATTATTTTCTGTTTAAAACAAATTAAACAGAAAATAATTTTAATGTTGTTGTTATCCATTGACACAGGTTTGAAAGTCAATTGCTCAGCTTCTAAACAGTTTTCTGAGAGTTATTATATAGACATGGGGAAGTGTTTGCTTTTAAGATACAAATTCTAGTAGAAGTGTCTAATAATATCAATTAAATCATGGCTAGCACAGAAAATGAGTGGGAGAGAACTAAAGGTGAGGCATGTCATTTGTATTGGGATGAGTGTCTGGCATGTAAAGAATTTTACATGTTTTCTAAAGATACTTTTGATGACTTTAAATAAAAGAAAATGTGTTTGGAAGAGTTTCTAATTGCAAGTTAAAATCAGCAGATAATTAGTGCCATTGCATAATTTGCATCTGTTTCCAAATGTATTTTTACACATGAATTTATGATAATTGACATCATTTTAACATGAATTTTATTGAACTTTTTATAATAAAGCTTCTGTAATGATTGTTATTTTTGCAGCACAGTTGTTCTCTATTTGCTAATTGTAATTTTGAATTTTGCTTTGAAAGTTTTCATTTTATTGAATTTCTTAATTAGAATTGACAAATGGTAAAAGAACACTGTAGTGTAAAGAATAGCTTATGGTACTATTCTTAATAAAATTAATAATAATAGAATAAAAATGTTTAATTTTAAACTAAATCTTTAAAATAAGTTTTAAAATTATAATATAATTTTAGTTAATTTCAGTATTTATATTGTTCATATGCATAAATTATATTCAATGAATTAGTTTGGAAGGATTTTAACTCTAAAATATTTTTGAAGTGTAATATTATACTTTAATTAGAGTACATTTAACTTTTTAAAATAAAAATATAAATTCTAAAATCTTATAATTGTTATATTTAAAATACATAAAAGTTTATGTCTTAAATATTAATTTGAAGGTGAAGAAGATATGATGAATGGAATTCCATTGTGTGCTTCAAAAACAGCATTGATAATAAAGCTAAAAGGTGATATACATATTATGATTTCACCTTTAATGCTAGAAAGTTTAAAAAGGTTTGTGTTGTCTTAATTATACCTTTCTATGCTATATATTTTAGAGTTTTAAATTTTATAATTAAAAATAATCCTTAAGTTTTAGAATGTTTGTGTAAAATTATTTTATAGTTTTATTGATGTAATAACTCCAACATTGGCTGGACTTCATCCACTTACAATAATTAATCATCTACATGTTATGTGTTCTCATAATGTCCAACAGCAAAATCAATTAAAAAAAGAAAAAGTACTTCAATTAGCACAATTAAGAGCACAATTATTAGAAAAGTTTGGATGGAAAAAAGATATTAATGACAATGAAAAATGCCTAGGAAGTGCAGATAATATTATCTCTGGAAGCAACTATGAAGAAACGAGAGTAAATCATTTACGTTCTTTAATTCACATATCAAAGGTGAGATTTTTTATCCAATTTTATATACCTTATTTACTTGCACATAAGATGAGATTTTTATTTACTTTTTACTGTTTCAAAAACCTAGGGAGTCCTATATGAGCGAGCAAAGGATTCTTTGCGTTTTTGCAATAATTTTTCTGAACCGTGTATTAGCATTTTTACTGGATATTCACTCTTTGGTGTTTGAAAACAAAAGTATTTTATCTGGGTCATTTGAATTGTTCTTGTGTATTGTCATGAGTAAAGATGAATAGCAATAGGTAGAGCAAATCTTTTGAATTGAATTCCAAATTGAAATTTTAAAATCACACGAGAGCCTGATATATGTTTTAATCTATTCCCATGGAAAAACAGGCGATTATTCAAAAATCAGAATTTGGAGAAACTCATAAGTGTAATCAATGGAGAGTGGATTTGTCTGTTAAGAATGGGCAAAAAAAGTTCACTATTGTCCAGCTTTACATGAACAAATGATGATGTCTATTTTACAAGATTTTTCCTTAAAGTTTAAAATGACAGTAATTTTTGCAGGACAATGTGTGCATTTATGTGCATTTGATATTTTATTTATGATTAAAAGAAATAAAATTAGAATTGTATTAATAAATCTAATTTTCTTTATTTTGATCTTTAAAGTCACACCTCATCCTATATGCGAGATTGTCTTATGTGCAAGTAAAAGTAAATATAGTATCTAATACTTTCTGAGTCAGATTTTATTTGTATGCAATAACATGTATTAGTCAAACTTTTATCACTTAAATGAATTTTCTAGAAATATAGTTACAGTTTATAAAAAGTTTATTAATATAAGGTAATCTCAAAAGTTTATTGTAATTCAAATTTCAATAGACTTTTATATAATCATATTATTTTAATATTAAATGTTGTAAACCTATGACTAGTTGTTATTAATATCAAACTTAACTATTGTAAAACTTTACTAGATTGTTTAATTATCGTATGATATGGATATAAGTTCAATATTATTAATAAATTTAATATTTTAATTTTCTAAATTAAATGTTTTGGAATATAATTTAATTTTCTGCCTGATAAGAAAACTTGTTACCATTTACACTACTTACCTCTAAGATAATATCTTAGGTGTATTCATTTTTATTGATATAATAATAATAAACTTTATTATATTTATTTTGTACAAGAGGAACTTTAAATGTATGTACAAATTAGTTTAAGCTGTTTATAAACTTTTACAAAGAAATAAAAAATTTTACAAACTCCCATATAACTAATAACTGGAGACTCTAAATAGTTTACAATAATTCCATAACTGCCAAATATTTTCTACAGAAAAGCTCCAGAACTCTACAAGATACAAAAAAAATTTTTACCATTCTAACACAGGAATAACATCACAAAAGGTGCATGGTTTAGTAATATCTAAATTAATATATTTACAAAGAAGTAATAAATGGTATTTGTTATATTTTAGTTGTAAAATTAATGATTTAGCATGATAATTCGCTTCATGTAAGAGTCATGATGATGGAGACCAGGATAAAGACAAATCACAGTTTAACAAGGTACTAAACGTTAACCTTTCCTGCTGCAATTTTATAATAATATAAGTCTGTATAATATCTGCTGAACAACTCTGAACCAAATCAGTGAACTGAGCATCAAACACATGAAAAAGCCATCCAGAAATTTTTTAAAAGAAATAAGTCAAGTATAGTCTTTTCTTTTGGATATCTCTGCAAGTTGAAAATTGTAAACTTTTCATTGTAAGTTGTCCTCATGTAGTCTCAACAAATAAAGCCAGAAATTTAATAGTGATTAGTGTTTCAGTCAATGAGTGGCAATTACACCCATTGCTATAAAAATTAGTGCACCAAGAAGGAGTTGTTGTATTGCTGCAAAACCTAGCATGTAGATAAGACTCAAGCGGATATGGAAATGATTAGGTATAGCATGATGGCTTGTTGCGTAATGCCAGCAGAGGGCATTAAAGTGCATCCTCCTTGGTCTATGAAAAAAAGCACACACAGATCTTGTCTATAAGTTAGCTGTTACAGAGGAACGTTGTATCACTAGAGATGACTTTACATTGCAAACGAAGACCATATGAACAACTAATTGAGTTTGAGTTGAGAGGAGAAGGATCATTGGGTTGAGAGAAGCCAGATGGTCATCTTGCCAAACAGATTGCCACCTAGGTCAGGCATGGCCAACATACAGCCCGTGGGCTGGAATTGGCCCGTTTAATGGATTTATGTGGCCCGCGATTAATCTTTCAATATTAGCTACTCAAGTCAGAATAGATTGGTGAAAAATTCTGACGCTAAAAAAAAAAAACTCTCTGTCCAGTTAGAGTTAACCCTCTATTACAAATCTCTTAAGTAGTGTAGAATGTTGATAAAGCATGATAATGTGAAAAATGTATCTGTAATCTCTATGTACAATTTAGTCTCTACGGAGTGACACCACAATGAGATCTCTCACCACCTCAAAATCTTCCTAGGGCAGGCTCTGGTTCAGCCCGTGAAAAAGTTCTCTTTTCAATTTGGCCCGGGGACAAAAACTGTTGGCTGCTCCTGACCCAGATTGTTCTAACAACACTGAGGTGGTGTTGGGACCAGTGGAGGAGAGAGAGAACTTGGACACATGGTGCCAGACTCAGGACATCCTTGGCAGATCACTAGCTAAGAAGACTGCTTGGTCCTCCAACAATCATGCACACAGCCGACCATATTATTGTCTACCAACAATACAGGACCGTGTCTGTCCATACCATTTCAAGGCACCTGGGTGATGAACATTTGGTATTCAGAATGGAACCACTCCATTGGAGTGGTTCCATTTTTGCAGTTCCATTCTGTTGAGCTCCAACAAGATTGGGCCACAATAGAATGGAACTGGGTCATCTACAGCAATAAATCCAGATTCGGTTTGGGCACTGATGATGGCTGTGTTCATGTCTGGAGGCCTCATGGTGAACACCTCAATCATGTCTATGCTTTGGAGAAGCACACTGCCCGCACAGCTGGTGTGATGGTCTGCGATGCCATCACACAACTCTAATAGTGATCCAAGGGACCATGACAGCCCAGTAGTATGTTAGTGACATCCTGCAGCCACACATGTTGCCTCTCATGGCAGGGCTCCCAAGACCCATTTTCCAACAGGAGAATGCTCGACCACACACAGCAAGGGTGTCACAGGACTGCCTCCATCACATTGCCACACTTCCCTGGCCTGTCCAGTCCCCTGATTTGTCACCAATCGAACATGTCTGGGATCACCTGAGATGCCAAGTTAGACAGCCTAGGAATTTGGCCAAACTCTTCCTAGGACCGCTTGCAACAAATATGGACTGAGATACCACAGGACACTATACAGCATCTGTACACCTCCATGCCCACCTGTATCACATCATGTGTTCACACTAGAGGTGGCCCAACAGGGTACTAGAACCTCCTTTTATTTGTAGTTTGTCTGCAATAAATGATCCTTTTGCTTTCATTTTGTAATCACTTACTTATACTACTGTTACACTCACACATACAATTTTGTTTGATTCCAACAACTTCTTAGTGCACTAATTTTTATTTCAATGAGTGTATAACAATCCAAATACAAATGATAGATTGGCAATTCCAATGGAAGTATATCAGTAGAAAAGATAAAAGTTTCAATTGCAATTGTTTACAACTAAGGATAGTTAGAGAATTAGTTTGTTACATAAATTCATTTATTAGTTTGTCACGTTTAGATATGTTTTAGGGCTGCAATTTTCAAAAATTGTAGACCTATAAATTCCCACGGCATCCATTTGACTCGGTCCATCCTTCCTTAATAATCTTGAGAACAGAGTTAGATAGATAAAAGTTGAGACTGGATATAGAAAGCCTAGGAGCAGGATGCTCCAATTTACTATATAAGAATTTAAATACATGATTCCAGTTTGAACCAGAAATCATGTTATTTCAATTAAAAAATTTTCTTCTGAATAGAGTTAGATAGATGATTGGCATCACTCCATGTTAACAGCAGAAGTATGATGTACAGGGGCAAGACATTACTAAAATTGAGAGCAGTGAGAGGAAGAATTGCAGCCAGGCATTGTGACGATGTTACAATAAATAACTGCTCATTAAAATATATGTTTTGTTAAAATATTTTTAAAAAATTGTCATAGCATTAAATTCTAATCAATTATATTCAGTTTCTCAATAAGATACATCATCAATTTCATTAAACATGTTTAAAAGATTCATGGTTGAAGATGTTCATTATTATGATAATATAAATTGCCTACTTCTGTATGATTTAAACATCAATAATTTGATCATTGAGTATTTTATATTTACAGTAGTCTTTTGTGTTTGTTGTTTTTCCATGCTGTAACTAACAAGGGATCTGTGGGGGGCAGGAGGGTTATTCTTTTGCTTTACTTCTTTCCTGTTTTTGAATAACCTATTTTATAAAGTAAAGACATTTTGTAAAAAGTAAATTTATTCTAATAATTGTTCACTAAAGTAACTACAATATGTATGCAATGAGATGACTCTTCTGGTTTTCCATAAAGCCATGTATGCAGGTTTTATGCTGTTTAAAAGATTCCGCATTTTACAATTATTGCTTGTTTTTACATGTATTTATTATTCACACTCTCTCATGAAGATAGTAAAAATAAATTTAAATAAATTATCTGATTAAGTGAATCCTGATTTTGGTGAATCAACTGGTTAGTTAAGACCATTTATCCTTATATATGAAAGAATGCTACCATTTTACATTGCTGTAATTATATTAATTATTATCCAAGAAGTATGCAACCTACACCAATTGATAGAGTAATTTTGCAAGTTTCATCTCCTATCTGCATTCAAATTTCTTGTTGTACACTATCTTTAGGAATTGACATAAATAAAAATGGCGACTTACCATAGAAAAGGCATTTTGTGATCTGTTCTGCAGTTCACAAAATTAGAATCACTCATCATTGTGTAACACAAGTAATCTATAGGAGCTGTAGAATTGTGGCTGCTTTGGGAAGAGTGACAACAGATATGCTGTAGCAACCATAGGAAGAATTTGAATATCAATTGGATGTGTGCCATGACACAAGGTGCACATATTGAGAGATTGTAATAGAAAAATGTGAAACTTGGACAATTTTTTAATATACATTACAATGTTCTCAGATAATAATTAACATAATTACAATAATTTAAAATGATAAAATTCTTTTTAGAAGACTCTATACTGCTTTTCTCTGAAACAAGTTCTGTGTGCTCCCTGGATAGCTAATTATTATGTAACATTGATGTTCTACATTAATATATAAATCAGCTAATATTCTTAATGTTTCAATAGCATGGATTTCTGTAATTATCTCTCTAATGAAGTCTCTAATGTTAAATGTGTTTAATGTTTATGATCTCTATTTATATTTGTAAGATCTGGCCTGATATTCTCAGTGCACATGTTCACTTGCATGAGCCATATAACATTTTATTTAGCAAAATGATACGTTCTGTAATATATTGAGAAGGTAATGTACAAACAGAATAATATTTAATTTCTATCAAATTCATTTATTCTAAGAGAAATAAATATCTTAAAATTATTTTTAAAAAATTAAATTACTTTAGAAATACATCTTCCATAGTTGTGACACTAATTCCACAAGAAACGATTCCTAGTTCAGAATATGAATTTTCCATAGATTCAAATAGCGTACCAAAAGACTGTGATACTGAAGAAAGTGAATATACCAGTTGTTGATTTATATTGCTAACTATTTTAGCTTCTGGTATAAGTCTGTTAATTCTCCGTGTTATTTCATCAACCTTACAGCCATCACCTTTTGCAATATGAAGATGATAACCAGTACCTTTTGAAAATATAATCACAGTTAATTTGCCAATTTATATTGTAAAATACATAGCTGTAAACTTATATTTTAAAACTACAATACCAAATTTTCCTTTCAAAAATATAGAAGATCCACAACATTTGACAGATCCCTCTGCCATGATTGCTATACGATCGCCGAGCGCATCAGCTTCTTCCATGTAATGAGTAGTCAAAAGTACAGTTCGATCTCCACGCAATTCTAGTAATGCATCCCAAATTACGCGTCTTGCTTCTGGATCCATCCCCGAAGTTGGTTCATCTAATATTAAAATCTTAAAATAATAAAATAAATGTCGTCATTACTACACTATAGATTGAGTTACACAGATGATATATAATGTGAACTTATATAATAGCAATAAAGAATGGAACAATGCTCCTAACAATTAATCACTCTGTACCATTTAGCATGAATTTTAGTTAAAAGTATTTGTGGTTGGAGTGTAACACTCAACCACAAATTCTTTTAACTAAAACTCACATTCAATGAATTTATCTAATTTCTAAATTTAAAAAATAGTAATAATAATATATGGCTAATATAAATTTAAAAAAGTATTTGAAACTATTATAAAGAAATTTGTTCATTGTAGAGATATAAATACTGAAATATTGTTATATTTTGAACATTAAATACATCTTAAATAAAATCTAAAAAATTATTACATTCATTATTAAATTCATTATTCCTGTTCCTTACAAACTTAAATTAATATTAATAGTTAAGTAATTTATTTTATTTATATATAATAGGAGTATTATGATACAAATAAGAAATCACATGAATAAATACGTTCAGAAAAAAAATGTTTTTTTCCTGAAAGTATTCTTTTATATAAAGCATTAAAATTTTAACTTCTATGATTATTAATGGTTAATTTATAATATAAAAATCAAATGAGTAGGTAGCTGTCATCAAAAATGTTAACATACTTTTGAACCCCCGATGATTGCGATTCCTAATGACAATTTACGTTTCATTCCTCCCGACAGATCTTTCGACAAAGCATTTTGCTTGTCTGAAAGTTGAAGAAGAGCTAATATTTTTGCTATTTCTTTTTCCATTTCTGACCAAGGTAGATTCTTAAGCTGAAATTAACAAAATATATCTAAATTAATTTGATGTAATTAATGATTAAAAATAGTGAACATTAGTTTCATCAATGACTGATTTTATCTAAAATAACAAACAGAAATATAATATTTTTTAATATAAAATAACATTTAAAAATTTGTATAATTGTAGAACTAAAAATAATATAATTTTGCACATTGTTAGAAACATTTTAAGAAATTTTATTCAAATTTTATAAGTTTACTCTTATGTAAATGTGATTATGCTTGTATGGTGGCAGTTCCACCATAGAGAAGTGGCCGTAAAGAAAATTAAAAACTTCAGATTTCGATAGTAGTCTAAAGAGAAGATACGTTGGAGTTATGTCTACTTTGTCATTTTAAGCAACTTTATCAAAATGGTAGACTTACAATTTTACAATTTTACACAATTAAAAAAATGCCTGTTTTACAATTTTTAATTATTTACTATTTAATTACTTTTTATATTTAAATAAAACCAAAATTCAGTCATTTACAAACACTGCACAAATTTTCAGTACAGATATAGCAATGGAATTTGGCATTGAAAAATGTGCTATAATAGCAATAAGTCAAGATAAAATCATCAACAATAAGGAAATTGTGATTCAAAATGGCTAAACCACCAGGAGCTTACATAAAGAGGTCTATAATTACCTGGAATTTTTACAACTGGATAACACCAGGCATGTACAAGTCAATAATGTGATTAGCAAAGAATATATTCAAGAAGTGAGAAAAATACTTAGGACAAAATTGAATAGTGCAAATACCATTAAAACCATCAATACACTGCTGGAATTATGGAAACAAGCTAATCTGCATAACCTAGACTTTAAAATAACAAAACTCATGACTATTCAAATATGCATCACATTTCTGGAATGATATCAATAGATCATACCTCGCAGAACTGGAAGTCAAACAAACTGTTGAAGAAGAAATTTTAAAAATGTCTAAATTATAAATTAATTATTTATAATTATTAAATTTAATATGAGATGGCAGCATAACTGCCTACCTCTAGTCAAATTAATTAATTTCCAATATTTAATTATAGCCTTTGCATAACCCAAGAATTTGGTATATCGTTTGGTGTGTTTATCAGACATATTATCTGTAATTTTTTTTTCCTGCAAATCAAATTCGCATTCCAGTGTGGTTCATTCCACACTAGAAGAAATGATGATGATTCATGCTCCTTAACAATGTATATTGTACAATTTTCTTTGAATAAACATTATATGTAAAATATTTGAGTATCTTTTTCAGCATGGAACGCATTATCATATTTTACATTAATTTATATGGAAAAAAATTGTTTCGCATAACAAGCGTTTTGCATTACAAGGAACAAATTATGCTCGTTAAGCAAGGTTCCACTGTACTTGGATGCAGTGCTCTTTAAGTAACATTGCATTTTCTGTTTTTTTAATTGGCACCGAGTATGATTGTATGTGAACATCAAATCCAATGTCAATTAACTTAGTTTACTAAACTAAGCTAAAACTAAAACTGATATGCAGGAATGCAACTAAAATAGAATTTTCAAACTGTCCACCATGCTCTCTGTTACTTACATATCTTGCTATTTTTCTCTGCCTGATTATTTTGTTTGGATTGTTTGACCTAACTATTTCTGTCAGAGAAAAATAGCAAGATATGTAAGCAACAGAGAGCATGCTTACATATCTTTGTAAGCATGTGGAAAGTATCTTTGTAAGCAAAGGAAAGTTTGGAAGCAGTGGAATGATTTGAAACTCAAATGAAGACAATTATGTCAGAGTTGATTTTTGATTTTGTTATTAAAACAGCATAAGTGTTGATTCAGAAGAACCTAACATGGCAAGTGAAAAGGTTTTCAATTTCAATACCGCAGAGGACAAAGATATATAACTTACTTTACATGCAATAAATACTGAACATTTCTATTGACAACTTGAAAAAAATATAAATTTGTCTCAAATATTAAATAAGTTTAATTATATGAAACTAATTTAGTTTCTATTGAAGAATCTATATGAAAATAATGCATCAATATTTAATGTAATCACAATTGGTTTGCATTCTATTGAATAAAAACTGAAATAAATTCTTCTTCAACAGGTATTTTGTAATTTAAAAAATACTTTACCAATTTAAATTATTTAAAATTTTTTAAATTTTGCATTATGCTTTAATAGTAATTAAAATATTTTAATATTTTATGGAATACTTACACCACCAAAAAATTTTAAATGTTCTTTTACAGTAAGATTATCATAAAGAACATTATGTTGAGGACAAAGTCCAAGAGACTTTCGAGCACTAGTCGTTTCAGTTAAGATATTATAGCCATTGACTATAACTGTTCCTGAAGTGGGAGGAAACATTCCTGAAAATGAAAACATTTAAATTTTTTTTCTTGTGTAATTGTCTGTAGTATTGTTGTCATATAAATTAATTAAAATTGTACTGTAATCATGTTACTGAATATTTATGTAGTATTAAAACACAATTTATTGTTTAAAAATACAAATAGTTTGATGTTATGAGTGAACTTACCAACCATTTTAGTCAACTTAAAGTTTAAAAAGAAAAAGTAAATGTGAGGTTAGCCAATTAGGTGGAAAGTGTCACGACAATCCAGCAGTCAAAACAGTCATGTGGGCGTGGACTCACGGAGACAGGTTTACCATTTAAAACCATTTAATAGATATATAAATTTTCTTACAACTATTCTTATAATGAGGCATAATGCCTATCCAAAGGAGGGAAACAAGTCTGTTCAAAAAGTCCAAATGTTCTGATGATCATTTCGTTTCTTCCGGCGAAGGTGATGTGGAGAGCGACGACCCTGGAGCGCACAGCATGACTTGCAGAGATGACTTCTGATGACTAGGTGTACCTGGGTGAATCTCAACGGGACGGGATAACAAAAATGAATCTTGGGACGTCGAACAAGCCTTTGTTGTTCAAGAACAGGAGCACTATGAACCAAGAACTTCCTATCCTTTAAACGCATAGTTTTATAAGTTTTTCCTTTAAAGCTGCCTTTTCATTGGTCCCGACTTGTCACTTGGTGACAGTTCAAAACCGATTGGAGGGCATGGGAGAGGTCAGTTTCGCAACTAAATACGATTCCTCTCCAGCCGTGTTTCCCTCAACTTTAGTCTTTTCTATTGTTTAAATAATTTACAAAAAAAAAACCTTCTTTGTTTAATCAAGATCTTTAATTTCTCCCTTTCGAGTTGTAAAAGATTTTAATTTCTCGATTGATAGTCTCCATTCGGACCTCTACATTGACTTCCTTCCGGGTCCTCACATAAATATATTTGACCAATGTAAAAGGAAGGTCAAGAGACAGCTTGATGTAAAATATGATGGTTTCGATTTTGTGGTATATTAGACTTAAAAAAGAAGACAAAGAATAAACCAAAATGAAAACACCATAAAGAACAAAATATCAGACAACAGTGTATGTGAGGTAGAATTAACTTTTAAATTTGGTTACAGTGTTTGGTAATTTAATATCAATTTTTATGATTGTCTTTTGTAATTATTTTTCTAATGTGGTACATAATTGCTTATATAGTGATATAAATGTTGGTCTATCTGTATATTGTATTCTCATTTATTAGATTCTTTTATATATATTTTAATTATAATATCATTGTCCAAATGTATATGTAACCTGGCTGAAGAGGGCTGTTATTAAAAAAGCCAAAATGCCATCTAGGATATCATGCATTAATGAATACAAATCGAAAAGGTGTGTGATGAGTCTGGAATTATAAAAATGAGTCCAATGGACTTGTAGTTATTTACTCCTAATTAATATTTTTATAATTCATATAAAAAATATTTTGAATTAAATAAATATGTTCAATAAATAAGAACTTTTATAATTTGCATAAAATAATGACTTGTCTGAAATACCTGTAAGAATACTCATTGTAGTTGTTTTTCCAGCACCATTATGTCCTAATAATACAGTGATTTGGCCCGGATATAAATTTAAAGTGACATCATTTACTGCAAACTTGTCAACATTTCCAACTTTAAATTTCTGAAATTATAAACAAATAATTATATTTATGATTTTATTATTTAAATGTCTACTAAGACAGATCGTACTACTAGGACTTATTATGCCGGTGTCCAAGTCCTGCAAAATGAGGAAACATATCCAGAGAAAAAAGAAAACTTTATTGTTGGCCTGATTTACCTGTACACAATTAACACACTTTGTATTTTGGACCATTTGGTCCCTCATCAGTGGGTTTACCACTACCATGTGCTAAAAATGAGATTTAAAAAGGGGTTACAATAATGCTACAATAATTTACTGTACAATAATACTATTAAAATGACTTACATTATTTTGGTCTCTAATAACTTTGAAATATGAAAATAACAACATAAAAATCCATATTGAAAGTCATTTCAATAGTATTATTGTACGGTAAATTATTGTAACATTATTGTAACCCCTTTTTAAATCTCGTTTTTAGCACACGGTGGTGGTAAATCTGCTTATGAGGGACTAAATGGTCCAAAACACAGTGTGTTAATTATGTACAAGTAAATCAGGCCAACAATAAAGTTTTTTTTTCCTCTGGATAAGTTTCCTCATTTTGCAGGACTTTGACACTAGTATAATAAGTCCTAGTAGACATTTAAATAATAAAATTGTATAATAAGGACACAAAAGCTTAGGAATAAATTATATTTATGGTAACAAACACTTCAAAATGAGTTATGAGCTATTATAAAGTCCAAAAATATATATTTTTTACAAATGAATTGTTTTTCTTTATTAAAATGATATTTTTGGCTATTTTAGATAACTAACCCCAGATTAACAACAGAAAAATAAGGCATTCTAACATTACATTAAAAATTTTTGTTTTATATAAATACTATAAAATTGCAAGAAAATATACAATACACTAAATTATAGTACACTATAATATATAGGAAAGTTATTAAACAACAGAAGTTTTAATCTAAAATTTGTGAAGACGTGCAGTGTGGAAAATCTTATTGCGGGAAACAAAATAACTTTTTAGCAATATGTACAGTATATACTTATGTACATGTACTGTACATACAGTGTCTCAAAACTGTTATCACACACAAAGGTAAAACAAACAATATCAAGCACAAAATGTAAGACAGCTATCATTTACACTCATGTTAAATGGGCACCTTCAGACTAACTGACCACTGCAGCTGTTAAATCAACAGAGATTGCCATACATGTATTAAGAGGGTGATGTAAGAGAAAGGGAGGAGGAGATTGGTGTAAGATTACAGTTTCGACTTCCAAGCCAGAGGAAGGATTCTATATCTTAAACGTTTATAGTGGCTTTTTTTCTGGTGACATTTTATATCTCTAACTGCTCTATATACCCAAGCTGTTTCTTGTGTATGGTACTATATATGAGGCACACATGGTCAAACTGTACATTAATATTGAGATTTGAAGCAAAGGTGGCCAATGTGGCATTGGTCAACCCTTTCATGATAGAATTCCAACGTTCTTTGAGGCGAGTGTTTAAAGGGTGCAATGTAGCACCTATGTGTTCCAAGTTGCAGTTGGTTCTGTGATCTGTAATGCGGATAGTGTATATGCCAAATTGAAGGTACATATCTGTAAAATCTTTACAAGCTGTCACCTTACACCCTCTCTCCTTCCTTTTCTCTTTCTTACATCACCCCTCTTAGCATTTGTACAGCAATATTTGTTGTTTTAACAGCTGTAGTGATCTGTTAGCCTGAAGATGTCCATTTATCACATGCTAAAAATGTTAGCTGTCTTACATTTTTGTGATGGATATTGGTTTGTTTTGCTTATTTATTAAGTGTAACCAGTTTTGTGTGGTTATTATTATGATACAGTTGGGTTAAATCATTTAAAAGAATCAAATTATAAAATAAAAATGTTATTAAAAAAATGCTATTTATATTAAGAAAACTATTTTTCTGAAATGTCATAGTTCTCTAATAATAATGTATATCATAACTGAAATATGCAGGCAGATACTTTATAGAAAGTATGCAAAACAACATAGTCAATTTTTTACTAAGTGCACTCCAGTAATTAATAAGTTCTAATAAATTAATACAACCTTTATTAGATGAGATATTGCTACTGATGGTGTGGAAGTTATTGGTTCTTCTTCAAAGTAAGATGAAGGACAAGTCTTTATAATGGGAAAATCTGCTTCCTCGTGATAATTTGACCAATAAGATTTCTGTAAGGAAAAACAAAATTGACTATCCTAAGAATAAATTAAATATTTAATAATATCAAAGTAATAAAAATTAGTTAGAAATCTTTTAATTTTAAATTACTAAATAAAAAATGTAAAAGTCATGACATTTTAGATCTTAAGTCAAATATTAAGTCAAAATGTCTAAATATATAAAATTACTTGTCCTGACTGACTGACCCATCATCGCCCATAGCAAACCGATGAACCTATACAGGTGAAATTTTGTACACAGTTAAGATATGTCATGAAAATGCACACTAAGAAGGGATTTTTCGAAATTCCCCCACAGGGGGAGAGGGAGAGGATTAAGGCTTAACCTGAAGAACGGCTTCTACTGTACTATTTTAAATGCAATTTTTTGTTTTCAACAACGTTTAGTCTTCATTGAGTACAGTTGTCCCTTGATAATCCGACAGGTATGGGACCAAAGGTGTGTCAGATTACCAAAAGTGTCCGGATTACCGAAAATAATTACATATTTCGCATTGTTTTGCTAGCAGTAACTTACAATATTCTCTACTCCAACTGTTCGAACAGAACTGCTCACATAAAACACACAAAAGTTTCCGGATTACCGAAAATAATTACATATTTCGCATTGTTTTGCTAGCAGTAACTTACAATATTCTCTACTCCAACTGTTCGAACAGAACTGCTCATATAAAACACACGAAATGTGTGTCATCGTGTAAAAATTGGATGGGGAGATTCACATCACAACATGCTTCTGTGCAAGCAGACACGTAATGGGGACGAGTAAGAATTGGATGGAGAGATTCACATCGCAACATGCTTCTGTGCAAGCAGACACGTAATGGGGACGGGTACCTTGACGGGAGGTGCGTCGGACTACTGAGCATGTCAGATTAAAAAACGTCGGACTATAGAGGGACAACTGTACTTAGGTATATTAAATTGATAACATTTCAGACATTGTTATAAATATTTTTATACATTTCAATTTTTTAACCAAATGTTCAAAGTGTTTTAAATTCAAATTTGTTATTGCATATTGGTTCAATTATAGAATGATTGTAAACGTTCCAGAAAATTGATCAAATTGAAAATAGTTTGTTTGATTCTCAGCAATTCTAATCATTCTCAGTGGTAGGTGTTATATAACAATTACTATGGTTGTTGAAATACTAAATATAAATGGGGTTTGCTTGCAAAACCCCCGCAGGCAAAGTCGCAGGTAACAGCTAGTATAGTATATGAGAACCCCAATTTCAGGAATAAGTATTATCTTTTCATGAGTATAACCTGAAGAAAATTGTTAAAACAAAACTAAAACTTGCATAATCCACCCGATAATATACCCTACACCTAGGCAGCAATGTAATTACAATTAAAAATCATTACAATTTGTAATTACAATTAAAAAACAGTGCATAACCCACAACTTTTTCAAATTATCTTTTAAACATAGAAAACCTGTGGGTTATAAAAACAAAAATATGGTAATTTATTGCATTTAAAATTTTTAAGCACTTGTGCCTCAGAGCATATGGATTAAGCTTAAAATTTTACAAACTTATCTCTTTAGCAGAAATGAATATTCCTAGTGCTTTAATGCATCTGTATTCACAGGTAATCAGAAACCAACTAACATAGTCATAAATTACATTATTTAAAAACAGAGAATATAAAATACAGTATTAAAAACAGCAAGGATATGAAGTATTAAAAAATTTACTATGTGAATGAATTATAAAAAAAAAGAAAACAAATAAATATAAATTAATTGCATAATTTGTAATTACTCTATGATTAAAACATAGTTCAACAAATTAACAAGTTTCAGGATTTTATTTAAAGAAAAATTAATATATCATTTTAAAACTCATTATAAAAGATTAATATAAAAATTCATGCTTAGAAGTTAAATTAATAATACTACTTAATTTAAAGAGAAAAAAAAAATTGTCAATAATAAAGTTCATCTCGAGATGAGTAGAAGTAATTTTTTGATGGAGACTCTCACTGATAAGAAAATAAAAGTTTAACAAATGCTAATGAATGTCATTTATCCCATTTTTCTCTCTAGTTCATATTAAAGATTTAATAGTATCCAATCTCCATCTTATTCAAGGCTATTAAACCTTTACTATTCATCATTCTTTCAAACATTTTAATGTAACTTATTTAAAACAGTTTTTTTTTAATAAGTTTAATTCAATGCCTATTGGTTTTTCCTTATTTTGTTTCAAAAACAAATTTTGACTTTCTCTTTCATCTTAATTTGTCTTTACCAACCGCAATTTATCAACCTGATACAAGAATATTTGCTCTTTCCAGTTCATTTTTCTTCATTGGTTACAATCAACTTTCAGAACCACTTTATCACTTTCTACACTTGATCCTTATTTAAAACTTGTTGCAATTCTTTGTTTTTCATTCATTCCTTAATAGATATATCAACTAATGTCATTTGACATTCAAATAATCCAAAGGTATGAATGTATATGAGATGATATGAATGGACTTGTCAATGGAATATTTGAAATCAGTTAACTTGCAGACTTATTGCAATAATTTAATTTTAAATGTTATAAATTTCAGAAATGTTTTCAATGGCTTGATCAACTTTATACAATTAAATCTACATACAAACATTCTAAAACTTGGAAAATACCTATCAGTTATCTAAATAAATAAGGATTAAAATTATAATGATGAACAAATGAAACTAATGCTTTAAGTATTTATGAACGGAGAACTAATTCAGATACAATATCGCTGTTAGAATATTTATCAATTTTATTGAATCATAATCAATAAAATAAAATTCAATTAATTACCAGTAATTATATTAGAATTATGCTGCTGAAAATTTATTCTAACTTTAAACAGCATAATTCTAGTTTACAATCCTTTACTAGGATTGCTTATATTGCAAAATAGTAAAAATTTGATTTGCCAATAGTAATACCTCGACTTACACGAACCCGGAGTTACACGATTTTCAAATCTCGTCGATTCGTCTTTTGTTTGAGTGCCACACAACTCTTGATTACTCGCCCCCCCCACACTATTGTTCAGTTTACATGTTCGGACGTGTCGCGCGGAATTGACACATAGCTACAATTTATTTTGTGTTATTTATTTCTGTGTTTGTTATATCTACGAGACTTCAGAGACTCTATGTGGTGATTTCTTGTAACCGTGAATGAATCAAAAGACGAAATAAGATTAACAAGAACATTTATTAGCTTACATACATCCGACACAAATTACAAAATTATACCCCGACTTACCCGGTAATCGCTTGGTCCCACCTATCATGTAAGTTCGGGGTATTACTGTATGTGTTATGATTGTATTGATGTTACAATTGTGTATCCTTACCCAAGATAATAATGTTAATATGATTACAAAATTTAAACTTTTATTTTTAAATATGTTTAAAAGCTTTCTATATAAGTTAAATACATCAAATATTTTCAATGACATAATCACGGTTGCTTGATATCAAATTATTACACTAGAAAGCATGTTGTGCCTATCTTTCTAATAA